ACATGGTTAAAAAGCTCATGTAAGTGGGTCAGTTCGCAGTGACACTTCCTCTAACCCTCTCTTTCTGTATCCGCACAGCTTTCACACTCTTGGTTAGCTGCAGTGCTAATCATGCTATGGATAAAAAATTGCAGTAGGTTAGTGTGCAGATAGGAATAATGCTGTGTAATATCTGCCCAGCTGTGCTATCAGTGCTTTAGGATGGAGCAGGTGGCGTTAGCGATTAAATGAGCATCTAGTGCAGTTTATTTCATAAACTGGTGTGTGATGTAATGCATTGGCCTAAATAAAATGAGTGAATGGAAGGCAAATCGAAGAATGAAGTTGATGTACATCCCAAGTAACATACTTCAGCTATGCTCTAAGCATAAGTACTTCTCAAATAAAGGGAAAGTATACTTTTGGTTGTGTAGTATTATAGGACAGTATCAATGTTATATCAGCAATATATCAGTGTTATTTTAGTATCATTGAGATTTTATTCATATTTTGAATGTTTTTTTTTTGCGTTTTAATTTTTGTGGAAATTTTAGTGATTTGTGTGTTTTTGTCATTTTTATTATTTAAAAAAAATGTCTACTTTTTTTTTTAATTCATTTCTATTTTGGTTTACTTGTGTTAGTACATAGATAAATTAAATGTGACCCTGGACCACAAAACCAGTCTTAAGTCACTGGGGTATATTTGTAGCAATAGCCAAAAATACATTGTATGGGTCAAAATTATAGATTTTTCTTTTATGCCAAAAATCTCAGATTCCAGATTTTCAAATAGTTGTATCTCGGCCAAATATTGTCCTATCAAACCATACATCAATGGAAAGCTTATTTATTCAGCTTTCAGATGATGTATACATCTCAGTTTCGAAAAATTGACCCTTATGACTGGTTTTGTGGTCCAGGGTCACAAATGACAATGGGAAATGTTGGCTGGGCAAAATATAATAAGTTTATTTCATACTGACATAAAATATATATATATATATATTTTTTAATACTTAAACTTTTTTATGGTCTTTTTTTGATGTTATATGTGTGTGTGTAGCTCTAATGTTGGAACTTGTGATATTGGCTAATACTGGCTGTATACTGTCATGTATATTAGGTTCATACATTTAAAAACTGCTGTTCATAACACAATCCCAAACACAAACAGTGTGTGTCTGCTGCACTAGATTTGTGAATGGTGCACGACTGTGTCAGGCTGCTGTTGAATAATGCAACAGGAACACGGCGGCCATAGTAAAACCCCTGAGCGACGATCATTAATCAGTCAGTACATGTACACGCTCAAAAACAGCTCACAGATCGCTCCAGACCCTTGAACAGCACACTACAGACCACAGCACTCTGCAGAATAACAGAGAGCTGTTGTTGAACTGTAGTGTTCTTGTTGCAAGATAGTACACTAGCTTCATATGCAGGTCATAAGAACATTCAGTATGTTTAAGTTTGATTTGATATTTGCTGTGATTTGATATTTGCATCACAGAGGAAATATTTTTCGGATTTATTGATCAGAAGTTGCTCTTTTATAGTTCAGCAAACATAACAGATTTCTTTTTCATTTCATGTATCAGTGTGCTCCTAAAATTCCTACTGAGAAATACAAAATTGATAATTATTGACATATAGTAATAGTTTAGAACTGCATTAAAAAAAAAATGAATGTGGAAAGTGTAGCTCAGATTATTTGAAAAGAATATGATGAGAGATGCTTGAGTTCACGTTGAGATTTTTCTTCCATTATTTAATTTGAGAAAAAATATTGATGAGGCAAGTTTGAATGCATATTGAGACTTGGTTTGATGACAAAAGTTTGGGTTTACATTGAGACTGCTCAGATTAATTGTTTTAGAAAGAATTTAATGAGAACTGTTTGAATTCATATTGAGACTTTGCTCAGTTTGATTGATTTGAGAAGAATTTGATGAGAAATGTTTGAGGTTATATTGAGATTTAGCTCAGATTAATCAATTTAAGAATTTGACGAGAAATGTTTGTTCATATTAAGACATTGCTTAGATTATATGATTTGAGAAGAACTTGATACACTTTTGAGTTCATGTTGAGACTTTGCTCAGACTGTTTGTTTTCAAAAGATTTTGATGATAAATGTTTGAGTTCATATTGAAATTTTTGCTCATATTTGTTTTCAAAATAATTTGATGTGAAATTGGGTACTGTATTGGGCTTTTGCAGACATTAAAGAATGGACATGTTGAGATCTCTTTTTCAACTCTAGGAAACATGTCATGTACTGTTGTGTAGGAGAAGCAATTAGAAATAAAAGATTTCTCATTTATGATACTTTTTTGGAGAATGGAAGCTCTTGTTGTGGCAGAAGGTGTGTGTAATACACGTTTGTGGATTAGATGGTTAAAGGTGGGGTAAGTGATTTCTGGTAGCCAATGTTGACATTTGAAATCACCAAAACAAACACGCCCCTACCCCAAAAGGGTCTCACCCCTATTTTGATAGCTCCGCCCCACACATACGTACACAACCCAGGCAACGATTAGTTCTGTGAAACAAAGCAAAACCAATGTTACACTGTGTCTACACAGGACGCGAGTGGCTCGCGCGACAAAATACTATGGAACTCATTATAATCAGTGATGCTGTCTAGACACGCCCCTTACTGCTGATTGGCTACAAGTTTGTTTTGCTATTCAGCCCGAATCAGTTTTCTAAAGCGTTTTTGAAAAATCGCTTACCCCCCCTTTAATTGTTAGACCACAGATGTTCCCTTGTTAGTGTACATGTACATGTGTTGGTGTGCTGTGAAGTCGTATGGACAGAGATCACAAACACACAGATAGGGGAGCAGTGGATGGATTGTATCTTTTCAAGGCTCTACCCTTCAATAAAGACACAGTTTTTCCTCCAGCATCTCTCTGGGCCAAAGCCTCTTATTCCCTCTGAAGATGAAACTCATATGCCGGGGACACTGGTGTCATTTGTCTTTTCCGACACATACAGCTGGCACTGTTGTAACCACATTAGCGGCAGGTTATTTTTGTAAAAACAGCATGTGTTTTAAAATGAGATGTTGCTTGATTTTAAAAGAAATTACAGTGAACAGTTAGATGTTGCTGCTTTGTCTGGTGTCAGATGACACGTTTACATTTGTTACAGGGTTTTGATGCTGTTTTTGAAAGATTGATAGCTTGAAGTCTATGTAATGACTTTAATGTCAATGTGAAAGCTTGTTTACAAACTATTTTTTATCATGTAATCCAAAGTATACTAGGAAAAAATGTAGGATGGGTCTTGATTTGTTCATCTGGATTTGGATATTGAATATTGAAAATTTGTGGTCTTCTTAAAAGTGGATTAAAAAAAATTGAAGACCAGTATTCATTTAATACTAGAAATTGTGGATCAATCATTCATTTATGCACAATAAGACTAGAAATGTATAGGTCAGTTACAATACAAGATTGACCCATGCCTTATCGCTTAAAGTTGAAGACCCAACTCTATGCATGTTCTGCACGACCCCCCTTTCCATGAAACATGTTTTATTTTACTGTTCTGGTTTTAATGCAAGTAGAAAACTTTTTTTATGAAGTACTCTCACTCAGGGACTTGTTTAGTAAGATTTTACCAGAAAATATTTTAGATTTTGTTAATTAAAAACAAAATATTGTATAACTGCTTGGTTTTTAGTTTGTGTTTATGTAAGTCTTGTTTTATTCCAACTCAGTTTTTGCCATGAAGACAGCCTTAGATGCTGACATGGCAATAAAAATAAATAACTACTACTGTGGGTCAGTTTTGATATTCTGGTTAACAGGGTTATTAAAATTAAAGCAATAACAAATTTGTTGACCCTAATCTTAAAAAAAGCTGGTTTTAGTTGAACTTGAAATAACTAAAACTGAAATAAAAATTAAATAATAAATCGTCCAATCAATGACACTGGTTTAGGAATGTACAGTGTGAAACGTCAGCATATGAATAACCAGGATTAATTGTTAAAAGGATAGTTCACCCAAAAATAAAATCTTTGTCATTTACTCATCTTCATGTTCTTCCAAACCTGTGTGGACACAAAAGAAAGAAGATATTTTGAAGAATGTTTGGAACCAAATTTTTGCTGGTAGCCTTTGACTTCCAAAGTGTTTTTTCCCCTACTGTGGTAGTCAATGGCTACCAGCAGCTGTTCCTCCAAAAAATTACAATTCTGTCATTAATTATTCACTCTCATGTCGTTCTAAGCCATAAGACCTTTGTTCATCTTTGGAACACATATTAAGATATTTTTGATGAAATCCGAGAGCTTTCTGACCCTCCATAGGCAACAACACAACCACCACATTCAAGGCACAGAAAGGTAGTATTAAAATAGTCTGTGGTTCAACCTTAATTTTATGAGGCTATGAGAATATGACAGCAGCACCACACGCATACATGTTACTCTCACGAACGTGCAGCGGAGACTGACACAGAAGAGAAGAAATTGTTGAATAAAGTCATTGTTTTTGTTTTCTTTGCGCACAAAAAGTATTCTTGTAGCTTCATAAAATTACGGTTGAACCACTGATGTCACATGGACTATTTTAACCATGTCCTTACTACCTTTCTGTGCCTTGATCGTGGTAGGACCCTTGCTGTCTATGGAAGGTCAGAAAGCTCTCGGATTTCATCAAAAATATCCTAAATTGTGTTCCGAAGATAAATGAAAGTTTTACGGATTTGGAACAAAATGAGAGTGAGTAATTAATAACAGAATTTTATTTTTTGGGTGAATTACCCCTTTAAGGGTATGAAAATCAAATGACAATGTTTATTTTTGGGTGAAGTACAGTATGAGCAGTTAGAAATGTTAAACAAAATACCAGGATTTTGAATGACCCACGATTAACCATTTCAAGTGTTAAAAGCCCCAAGGTCGATTTTATGTGTCGTCGTGTTTCAAAATGTGTCTGCAATTCATATAGCAATGAAGTATTTCTCCGTGTTCATGGCTTTACTATTTTTTTTTCTGTCTGACAGGAAAAGAAGCCCATCAGCAACCAGGGATCCAAACCAAAAATACGAACAAAGGGAGGAGAAGGGGGAGCGTTCGCAGTATGCCCCAGGGGAGGGCGGCATGCCACGATCGCCGTCTGACTACGGGGCCGGAGACCGCCAGTGGCGGGGAGGCTACGGCCGCTCCTATGAGGACGCGGAGGTAGCGCGGAGTGCGTACCGTGCTCAACGGGGCGGCTGGCACTCTCAGGAAGAGTATCCACCCGAACCCGGATTCCTGCCCGATGGCCCGCCACTCAGCGAGCACGAGCTCCAGCGGCAGCGGCAGGAGGAGTACCAGAACCGCTACCGCAGTGACCCGAACCTAGCCCGCTACCCGGTCAAACCCCAACCTTATGAAGAGCAGATGCGCATGCACGCGGAGGTTTCGCGATTCAGGCATGAACGGCGACACAGCGACGTCTCCCTGGCGTACACAGAGATAGAGGAGCCCTTGGGGCCCCTGCGGGGTCCCCCCTACTCACCGGGTCCCGGACACACCCATTGGAGGTCCAACCACAGTCCACCCAGCGTGGACTCCCTCCACAGGCAGCAGCACCTGGATCCTGTCTCGGCCTTAAGGAAGAGTAAACGAGAAAAGATGGAGAGCATGTTGCGGAACGACTCGCTCAGTTCCGACCAATCGGAGTCCATCAGGCCGCCGCCGCCCAAACCTCACAAGAACAAGAGGGGCGGCAAAATGAGGCAGGTGTCCCTGAGCAGCTCAGAGGAGGAACTGGCCACTACACCGGAGTACACCAGCTGTGAGGACGTGGAGATCGAGAGTGAGTCTGTGAGCGAGAAAGGTAATGCAGCTTTTTCATAATTTATATATGTACATACACTACCATTCAAAAGTTTGGGGTCGGTAAGGTTTATTAGCGTTTTTGAAAGAAGTATTTTATGCTCACAAAGGCTGTATTTATTTGATTAAAAATACAGTAAAACAGTAATGTATTAGTTGTGATATATTGTTGCAATTTAAAAGATTTTGAAATGAAATTTATTTCTGTGATGGCAAAGGCAAATTTTCAGCAGCCATTACTCTAGTTTTCAGTGTCACATGATCCTTCAGAAATCATACAAATATGCTAGAGAAACATGTATTATTATTATCAATGTTGTTGCTGACAGTTGTGTTATCAAATAGTTATGCTGCTTAATATTTTTTGTGGAAACTGATACATTTTTTTAAGGATTTTTTTAATAATTAGAAAGAACAGCATTTATTTGAAATGTAATTTCTTTTGTAACATTATTAGTATTTACTGTCACTTTTCATCTTGAAATTGCTGAATGAAAATATTAATAAAAAAATTAAATACATTTTACTGACCCCATATATTTGAACGGTAGTGAATGTTAATGCAGTGAAGCTGTATTGCTATCAGTTTAAAGCTGTTGCTAATATTTACATGGACATAACTAGATTATGAATACTTTTAGAATAATATTTTTTATGATGATAACCTCTAATTGATGCTGATGTTTCACAGTGTGTGTGTGAATGGCCTGTGTGTGTGTATATAGTCAGGGAGTGTGAGTAGAGACCTCTGGGTCTTTCTTTCAAGAGGAGTCATTGTGTGTGTTTATTGATTATTTCCTTGGTTGTTTAAAATTACTTGTTAATTATTCTCCAACACTGGTGTTCATTTACAATATGTATGACTTGTGTGAGTTGCTTCCTACCTCTGTATATATTTGTATGTATGTATGTATGTATGTGTGTGTGTGTGTGTGTGTGTGTGTGTGTGTGTGTGTGTGTGTGTGTGTGTTGTGTTCTCTCCTCTCGGTTGTCCTCCAATGACAGATATTGCTGGGTCTTGGCTCCCTCAGATCAGATGTAATGGGCTGTGTTACATAACAGAGGGATAGCGTGGAAAAGAGAGAGACCGAGAGAGGAAAGAGAGAAAATGATAGAGAAGCAAGGAAGACAGATGATTCTGTATTCTGATAAATATTAAGAATAAGATTAATATTAAAGGTGCACTTATTTATCTAGTTTTAAACCTAAAGAAATTAGTATGGCACATGTTAAGATCACATGACTAGCCGAATACTACTTTTTGTCACTTACATGTCAGTAAACCCCCTATTATTAGATTATCTGTTCTGTGTGCATCATGGATTATTATATTATATTATATTATATTATATTATATT